TGTGGCAGTTTAAACGGGGCCCCCCATTGCTGTTTCCCAGGCCCGAAATTTTTGCCATGGGCCCCCTTTTCCCGCCTCACTATGCTGTCCCGGGTTTCCAGAGTCTCTCAGGGCCCCTGTAAGGCCCCTCCCATTGCTGCCCTGTTTTTCCATCCCCACATTTCTGCCATTTTGGCCATTTTTCCGGGGTTCCTCCCCTTTGTTTGGTTTGGTTTTCCTTTTTTTCCTTTTTAGGGGTTTTGGCAGATTACAAACCCTTTTCCCATTTTTTGTTTGCCAGGACCGAAATTTTCGGGCCATGGGCCACCGTACCGGTCCTCTTTGCTGCGGGCCGGGGTCCACAGTGTTCATGGGTCCCTGTACGGCCCCCCAATTGCTGCTGTCTCCATCACCACATCTGCCATGTCCCATTTTCAGGTCCCCTCACACTGCTTGTGTGTGTTCCATGTTTTTTGGTCATTAGTAAGGGTGGCTGGCATATAGTGCTGGGACTGGTGCTGAGGGTGAGTAGGTTGAACACAACCCAGAACAAAACTACTCAATAGCGGCTGGCCGTGGACTCCTCATGTGCGTGTCCATGGCTATAGGAGCCCTGTAGAAGACTGTACAAGGGCGAATACGGGTCCCTGTGCGTCCCCGTCCCTATTTGCGGGTGCCGCCATCGCCATGTCTGCTGGGGCACGGATCCACGAATGTGCGTCATAGGTGGCATTGCGGGACTATCAGGTCATCCCGGCTCCCTCGCGTGAGACTGCTGCTGTGGTTGGTGTTCCATTTTTTTTTTGTCACGGAGGGTGGTGCTGGCAGATTATCGGGCCTACGGAACGGCTGCCGGGCCCACTAATCTGTTCATGGGGCCATTTTTTGCGTAAAAGCTCCTCATGGACTTCCTTGCAGGGGCGCCCTGCGTATGATCTCTCCATGGGCCCCTGTAAGGGCCTAACCATTGATTGCTGTCGCCATCGCGCACAAGGCTCTCGCCCATGTGCCACTTTTCAGGTCTCCTCACCTCTGAGTGCTGCGGCTGCATGGGTCCATTTTGTCATAGGGTGCTGGCAGATTACGGGCCCCCCATTGCTGCTGCCAGGCCGTAATCTGCCATGGGCCCCTTTGTACCGCCTGTCCTCATGCTGCTGCCAGGTCCAGAGTTCTCATGGGGTAGCGCTGTACGGCCTCCCTTTGCTGCTGTCTCCATCGCCACACTCTGCCATGTGCCACTTTCTAGGTGGTCTCCTTCACACTGCTGGCTGTGTTCCATTTTTGTCATAGGGTGCTGGCAGATTACGGGCCTCCCATAAGCTGCTGGCCAGGAAGTACCATGTAATCTGCCATGGGCCAGTACCGCCTCCTCATGCTGCTGCCAGGTCATAGAGTGTCTCTCATGGTGGCCCTGTTTTAGGCCTCCCATTGCTGCTGTCTCCAATCGCCACACTCTGCCTAAATTGTGCCATCAGGTCTCCTCACACTGCTGTGTGTTTCCAGGCAGGGTTCCATTTTTTTGTCATAGGGTGCTGGCAGATTACGGGCCTCCCAGTTGCTGCTGCCAGGCACCGTAATCTGCCATGGGCCCCCACTGTACAGCCGCTTGTCCTCATGCTGCTGCCAGGTCCCACAGTGTCTCATGGGTCCCTGTACGGCCGACCGTAAAACAACCATGTAGCTGTTCTTACCAGGCTCCAATCGCCACATGCCTAGACATGTGCCATCTTTCCCCCCGGTCTCCTCACCACGCACTGTGGGCGCATGGGAGGGTTTATGTCCATTTTATCGAGGCAACGTGTGGCCATGGCTCTTTGCCGGGGCTGGCAGGGGGTTACAAGATGACTCATGCTGCTGCCAGGCTCCCGTAGAGAGTGCCATGGGCCCCCCTTACCCTGTACGCCTCCATCATGCTGCTGCCAGGTCCACAGTGTCTCATGGGGTCCTGTGGCTCTCCCATTGCTGCTGTCTCCATCGCCGCACACTCTGCCATGTGCCATCTGGTTCAGGTCTGTGGCTCCTACACATGCTGGTCTGGGTCCATTTTGTCATAAGGGTGGCTGGAGTATTACGATTCAGGGCCTTTGTCCATTGCTGCCTGCCAGGCCTTTAATCTGCCATGGGCCCCTGTACCGCCTCCTCATGCTGTCTGCACAAAGGTCCACAGTGTCTCATGGGTCCCTGTACGGCCTCCCATTGCTGCTGTCTCCATCGCCACACTCTGCCATGTGCCACTTTCAGGTCTCCTCACACTGCTGGTGTGTTCCATTTTGTCATAGGGTGCTGGCAGATTACGGGCCTCCCATTGCTGCTGCCTCTGGGCCCGTAATCTGCCATGGGCCCCGGTAATTACCGCCTCCTCATGGGGGTTGCTGCCGGGTCCAGAGTGTCTGGGTCCCTGTAAAGGCTGCCCCAGGGCTTGCTGCTGTCTCCATCGCCACACTCTGCCATGTGCCACTTTCAGGTTCCTCACACTGCTGGTGGTGTTCCATTTTGTCATAGGGTGCTGGCAGATTACGGGCCTCCCCATTGCTGCTGCCAGGCCCGTAATCTGCCATGGGGCCCCCTGTACCGCCTCTCATGCCTGCTGCCAGGTCCACAGTGTCTCATGGGTCCCTGTGTTACGGGCCTCCCATTGCTGCTGTCTCCATCGCCACACTCTGCCATGTGCCACTTTCAGGTCTCCCTCACACTGCTGGTGGTGTTCCATTTTTGTCATAGTGGTGCTGGCAGATTTCCCGACTGGCCTCCCATTGCTGCTGCCAGTGCCTTTAATCTGCCATGGGCCCTTACTGTACCGACTCGGCCTCATGCTGCTGCCAGGTCCACTGTGTCTCATAAGGTCCCTGTTACGGGTCCCAAAAATGCTGGCTGTCTGCCATCGCCACAACTCTGCCATGTGCCACTTTCAGGTCTCCTCACACTGCTGTGTGGTGTTCCATTTTGTCATAGGGTGCTGGCAGATTACGGGCCTCCCATTGCTGCTGCCAGGCCCGTAATCTGCCATGGGCCCCTGTTACCGCCTCTCATGCTGCTGCCAGGTCCAGAGTCTCTCATTGGGTCCCTGTACGGCCTCCCATTGCTGCTGTCTCCATCGCCACACTCTGCCATGTGCCACTTTCAGGTCTCCTCACATGCTGGTGTGTTTCCATTTTGTCATAGGGTGCTGGCAGATTACGGGCCTCCCATTGCTGCTGCCAGGCCTGTTAATCTGCCATGGGCCCCCGTTACCGCCTCCTCATGCTGCTGCCAGGTCCATAGTGTCTCTCATGGGTCCCCTGTACGGCCTCCCATTGCTGCTGTGTCCATCGCCACACTCTGCCATTTTTTGCCACTTTCAGGTTCCTCACACTGCTGGTGTGTTCCAGTTTTTGTCATAGGGTGTGGCAGATTACGGGCCTCCCATTGCTGCTGCCAGGCCCGTAATCTGCCCATGGGCCCCTGTACCGCCTCCTCATGCTGCTGCCAGGTCCAGAGTGTCTTCATGGGGTCCCTGTAGGGCCTCCCATTGCTGCTGTCTCCATCGCCACACTCTGCCATGTGCCACTTTCAGGTCTCCTCACACTGATTGTGTGTGTGTTCCATTTTGTCATAGGGTGCTGGCAGATTACGGGCCTCCCATTGCTGCTGCCAGGCCTGTAATCTGCCATGGGCCCCCCTGTACCGCCTCCTCATGCTGCTGCCAGGTCCAGAGTCTCTCATGGGTCCCTGTACGGCCTCCCATTGCTGCTGTCTCCATCGCCACACTCTGCCATGTGCCACTTTCAGGTCTCCTCACACTGCTGGTGGTGTCCATTTTGTCATAGGGTGCTGGCAGATTACGGGCCTCCCATTGCTGCTGCCAGGCCCGTAATCTGCCATGGGCCCCCGTACCGCCTCCTCATGCTGCTGCCAGGTCCACCTAGTGTCTCATGGGTCCCTGTACGGCCTCCATTGCTGCTGTCTCCATCGCCACACTCTGCCATGTGCCACTTTCAGGTCTCCTCACACTGCTGGTGCTGTTCCATTTTGTCATAGGGTGCTGGCAGATTACGGGCCTCCCATTGCTGCTGCCAGGCCCGTAATCTGCCATGGGCCCCTGTACCGCCTCCTCATGCTGCTGCCAGGTCCAGAGTGTCTCATGGGTCCCTGTACGGCCTCCCATTGCTGCTGTCCTCCATCGCCACACTCTGCCATGTGCCACTTTCAGGTCTCCTCACACTGCTGGTGTGTTCCATTTTGTCATAGGGTTGCTGGCAGATTACGGGCCTCCCATTGCTGCTGCCAGGCCCGTAATCTGCCATGGGCCCCTGTACCGCCTCCTCATGCTGCTGCCAGGTCCAGAGTGTCTCATGGGTCCCTGTACGGCCTCCATTGCTGCTGTCTCCATCGCCACACTCTGCCATGTGCCACTTTCAGGTCTCTCTCACACTGCTGGTGTGTGGTCCATTTTTTGTCATAGGGTGCTGGCAGATTACGGGCCTCCCATTGCTGCTGCCAGGCCCGTAATCTGCCATGGGCCCCCGTACCGCCTCCTCATGCTGCTGCCAGGTCCAGAGTCTCTCATGGGTCCTGTACGGCCTCCCATTGCTGCTGTCTCCATCGCCACACTCTGCCATGTGCCACTTTCAGGTCTCCTCACACTGCTGGTGTGTTTCCATTTTGTCATAGGGTGCTGGCAGATTACGGGCCTCCCATTGCTGCTGCCAGGCCCGTAATCTGCCTGGGCCCCCGTACCGCCTCCTCATGCTGCTGCCAGGTCCAGTGTCTCTCATGGGTCCCTGTACGGCCTCCCATTGCTGCTGTCTCCATCGCCACACTCTGCCATGTGCCACTTTCAGGTCTCCTCACACTGCTGGGTGTGTTCCATTTTGTCATAGGTGCTGGCAGATTACGGGCCTCCCATTGCTGCTGCCAGGCCAGTAATCTGCCATGGGCCCCTGTACCGGCCTCCTCATGCTGCTCTGCCAGCTCCAGAGTGTCTCATGGGTCCCCTGTACGGCCTCCCATTGCTGCTGTCTCCATCGCCCCACTCTGGCCAATGGGACTACCGTTCAGGTCTCCTCACACTGCTGGTGTTGTTACCATTTTTTGTCATAGGGT